CAGACATATGCAAAACCTATGTGAATGCTATGTACTGAAGCTATGTAAAATATATGTTGTTGCTATTAATAAGCTATGTACATACATTTATGCAAATACTATGTATTTTGTATAGGAAATGCTATGTATGTCCTAGGCCAGAGCTATGTTTTCGCTAGTCAAGTGGAACGCTTTACATAGTATTTAAAAGCTATGCATGTTGAAGCCATCTTAGCTAATCTTGTGCATAGGTCTTGCATAGGTCWTGTATAGGGTACACATAGACATAGCATATAGAATGAATAGTGTWGTRCATAGGGCTTAACTAGGATCTGAATAGCAGACACATATGAAAAGCATAGATTATAAATAGCTTTGTACATAGAGCTTGCCTAGAAATGTAATAGCATACACATAGAAATAACACATAGGGATTGCATAATAAATAGAATATACACAGAAATAGCATATAATATGAATAGCATTGTGCATAGGGCTTGCATAGAACTTGGATAGTGTATGCATACAAATGACATATGGTATACATAGACATGTACATAGGGATTGCATAGAAGTTTAATAGCATACACATAGAAATAATACATAGGGATTGCATAATAAATACGATATACATAAAAATAGCATAAAGTATGAATAGTGTAGTGCATAGGGTTTAACTAGGATCTGAATAGCATACGCATACGAAAAAGCATAGATTATAAATAGCTTTGTACATAGAGCTTGTAAGAAATTTAGTTGCATATACACATAGAAGTAAATACTGCCAAGCATTTATTAGGTCAAACAATTTATTCTCTGTAACTAATTTCAAAAATCATTGCAGTGCTTTGATTTATGCCAGATAACTTGAAAATGGATTATTTGATATGGAAACTAATACAGTATAAAAATGTTGATCGACRTGAATTTTACAACTGGAAATCTACAAGTTACAAGTCTTACAAAAATTGTATCAGATAATGAATTCTACATTCGAATGCTACAAATTAAGTAAAACTCATCTGTGACTGTCAAYCCATCTTCCAGAAGAGAATTTTTTGCATGTCATGCATCTCCCATCTAACCTAAAATAAAACAATTCAACATTTAGAGCTCATTTTTGTCGGATTTTCGTAAGAGCATTTTAAGAACTTATAATAAAACAACTTAAGGTTAATGTAGTTAACGTTTTATTCACCTAAAACATTGTTAGCACTAACATTTATAGCACTAACATTTATAGTACACGATCAACATTACATCCAAATTCGTAAGAAGATAAAATTCTCGCTCAAATTGTATAAGGCTCACCGTAAATATCCAAATCAAACGACATCAGCCATCAACCAGCGTTGTGATTTCGATTGCTGCTTTAAATCAGATCTTCCAGCTCTGTTGTCACATCGGACATCTTCTTAATCTTCTTAAGGACACTCACTTATATATTTTCAATTCAATTTCAAGCTTTAATGCTCGAATACACACACACAAAAAGAAGAAAAGACGGGTTCACAACTGAGAAACGGTTTGAATTGAATTTGAGCGCCAAATCAAGCAATGGCTCAGTCACGTGATGCAGATGTGATCTTATTGGTTGTTTGAGCCATTGGCCTTTACAATAATGCAGATGTGATCTTATTGGTTGTTTGAGTCACATGACTAAATATCACTACAGAGGAAACAAAATGGCGTACTAATATCTGGGCAAAAGATTCCTAGCGTGTCTTGTAGCAGAAATGGTTTTTAAATAGAATTGTTTTAAGGAAAGTTATTCTGGAAGAAACACAAACATTTTTCCTGTGTTTTATCGAACACAAACAAAGGATTGAACTTCAGTCGGACGATTCATCAGAAATGGACAAAATGCGCCGCTCGTTGATGGAATACAAGCGAATCATGTGTACTTTTTCACATACAAAGCACATACAGATTACATTCAAACTACATAGAACTATGAAAAAGCTATACATAACCAATATGCTATGTAAATCATATGTACTTTATCACATAGAAATTGCATACTAGCTACATAGGAAATACATAAAACTATGCAGAAGCTATACATTACTGACACACTATGTAAATCATATGTACTTTTGGACATAGAAAATATATACTGACTACATAGGAAATACATCAGGCTATGCAAAAGCTATACATAATTGATACACTATGTAAATCATATGTACTTTTGGACATAGAAAATACATACTGTCTACATAGGGAACTCCAACAGTTATGCAAAAACTATGTATGAAAATAAAACTATCTAAATGCTATGTTGTGTCCCTACATAGTGAATACATAGAATGACAGYAGATTACAGAAAAATAGAATAGAAAATRCATAGCTATTCAAAACCTATGTTAACMTTGTACATAGGATTGACATCCTATGTAAAAGCTATTTGGCGTCCAGATAGTTTTGACATAGATTCCAACTATATTTTGAATATCCWTAGACTATGCAGTTTTGGTGTGTACATACAAAATGCATAGGCTTTCAGAGGCAGTGCATACCTAATACATAGTGCAACATAGTAAAAAAATAGTATCAACATAGATTTTGCATATGTCTCGTTCTACAAGGGTG